GCGGTTCTCAAATTCTCTGGTCTCAGGGTCTCCCTTAATTAAAAATTACCGAAGAGCCTTAATTTCTAATGGGATAAATATATTGGTATTTATCCCATTAGAAATTAAAACAACTGTAAAAATATTTGTTGATTTTAAAGCAACACATGTTAACATAAATAACATATCTCAGTCTGAATAGCCAGTTCTTTCAAATACAAATAGCATTTCATGGGGGAAAAAATAGGGAGCTAGTTCAGTTGGGGATTCAAATACACAAATGCTTTTTCTCATGACAGCAGTATTTCAGCGTGTGCACAAGTACTTTATGTGTACGTTCCATTTTGTCCAGTACAGAAGGTTAATTTAATAATCTTTTTGCTTCATCAAGGACATTCCTAAATGAAATTGGCCTTTTTTATCCTTTTTAACTCTGAGTGCATAAGTGTGAAGAATCCAATAACCACTGGTATAGTTTGGTGCCAGTACCTTGATTTGTGTTCAGGTGCCAACAGTTTTACCCACCTTCATATTTTTGCTGGAGGACATAGTTCCCTACTTATCTAGAAGCTTCAACTTCCTGCCACTAAATGGTCAAACAGAGCATTCTGCTCTAGGCTTGAAGGGGTGAGGGCAGCTTAATAAAGGCTGAGTGCTAAAAGCTTGTGGTCTTGATAAACCAACTCAAGCAACCCATTGCAGTCTGGCAGAGAGGGAGCTGGAGAAGGAACACCCTGACCACACCACCTTCTAAGCTGGTCTCTAGCTGCTGTCTGCCATTGACTAAAGTAACCAGAAGCAGGGGGCAAAGAAACCCTTTGATGCACCCACGTGGGTCAGCCTCCGGGAGCATAGAGCTGCATGGAGAAAAGAAGGTAGAACTAGAGGGGCAGATAGAAGACACACTCGGGGAATGACCATTAGTGCTTTGGCCATGGTGACCTGTGTCCTAGTCCACATTTCCTTCCCCAACACTATTATCTTCTTTATCTCATCCTTTAATCAGGACACAATCAAAAACTGCTATTTATAGAATTGCTATGACTAGCTGTAACATGGAGTTTTGCTATTGACCTACAGCTTCCAAGTTTTAAAATAACGTAATTTTTGTATAGCAGGAAACACTTAGGTACCAAGACTAACTTTGATACCTGGTAGCTAAGAGGGTCACATAAACCTTGTGGGAAATAAGGTTTGAGAAAGCCTTAGCATTCTGAAACACGTACATATATTAAATTATATTTTGTGTGCCATATAGTGATCATTACCTAAAGACGAGTAGGTCTCATAATTATATTGTTTCCTAGCAAGAGTGCATTTCTATCCACCTAAGATCCTGTGCAGATACAGGTTCATAGGAGCTATCTTAAGAAGTGCCATTGCCACTTTAATAAAAGTTTTCTGTGGTAGTGTATCTGTACTTTGGAAATGTTTTCAGATTGTAATCATGTAAAGCACAGATAAGTTTTATTTTTTCCATCAATTCAATGCCAGAGGGAGCTTTTTATGCCAGATAGGGTCAGTGGAACAAAGAATAAATTTCCAAATTCAAAATATTGAATCCTCATTTCTACCTCCTCCCCATATTAAACATTTTTTTTTAAATGAATACTGCCAAGTTCCTTAATCTAATCACAGCTCCAAACATGCAATAATACCTTATTACTGGTATTATCTCTCCATCTTAATTTCTTATTCCCTGATCCTCAGGCCACTTTTCACTCTCTCCTGACAGTCACTATTGTGGTAATCTATGCCTTACCCAGCCAGTTTCTCCCAAATATTTCTGATCACTCTTCCCCACAATCCTTGAACATAGAGGAGCATTGACAGCTTCATTGTTTTTCTGACTCTGTCAGAAGGAAGCAGGGGGAGGGCCTGTGGGACAGTGTTTATAAAGCCTATAGTAGTGCACAGTCATGTCCTAGGCCTTCACACTCGCTCACCGACTTACTCAGAGCAACTTCCAGTCCTGTAAGCTCCGTTCAGGGTAAGTGCCCTGTACGCATGTACAGTTTTTTATCTTTTATACTGTATTTTCACTGTACCTTTTCTAGGCTACACAAATATGTTCCATTGTGTTACAATTACCTGCAGAGGCATACCTGTATCATACAGCCTAGATGTGTAGTAAGCTAGACCATCTAGGTTTGTATGAGTGCACTCTGTGATGCTCACACAATGACGAAATCAGCTAATGATGCATTTCTCAACGTATCCTTGTCATTAATTTATAGTGTCAGGTCTCACTTGCATGCCATATAGTGACAGTTACCTTGAAGATGAACTGAGTCTCACATTTATGTTCTGGTTCCCAGCGAGAGTGCATTTCTATCCACGTGGGACAGGCCGGCGTCCAGATCGGCAATGCCTGCTGGGAATTGTACTGCCTTGAACATGGAATTCAGCCTGATGGGCAAATGCCAAGTGACAAAACCATCGGCGGTGGGGACGACTCATTCCATACATTCTTCAGCGAGACTGGGGCTGGCAAGCATGTGCCCAGAGCAGTGTTTGTGGACCTGGAGCCCACCGTGGTCGGTAGGTATTTGGGCCTGAGGGCGGCTTTTCAGGGAAGGTAGAAGATCCTCGCCAAATCTTCAAGTGTGCTCCTTCGAATCCTTCTGCAGAAAGGAAGAACGGACACATGGGTATGTCCGTGACCATGTTAGGTGAGAAACTGAAAGGTAGTGCTTGAAATGGGCTCAATTTCTGATTTAAGAAACCCTCACATGCAGAAAAATAAGCTGCTTTGCCAGCAGTAAGATGGGCCGGTGACAGATTTATTTGTGACTGCCTCAGCCCCAGGCAGGTGGTCTTACAGACCCTGCTTGCGGGGTGCCGGGCGACGTCCCATCTTAATGCTGTGCAAGACAGTCTTGACCTGCATCTCAGATATAGGATGGTAAGTAGAGAACATTCACTGGGTTCCTCCAGGTTAGATGCCTGAGGTAGTTTCCAAAGAGAGTACCTGTCACTGGCCACCCAGGGGATGACAGAATGTCACTTTACAATCTGGGAGACCCAGGCCACACAGCATGCTCTGTTAACACTGCCTGGCAAAAGTCACGCTGGCATGGTGACTGTCTAGTACTCCAGTATTTTTCCTTTAATTATACCCTTTCATATAAATATGTACATGTAGAATTGCCTAGGCGGGGATGGGTGAGAGCTCTGCTCCCTTTTTTGGGAATAGGTCAAGCTGGTATTTGAGTTACCTCCCTAGAGCCATAGATTGCACTTGTGATCTGTATATTAACATAGAGGTGCTCTCTGGTGCTGTTGACCTACAAGGAACAGCATGTGCTCAGTATAATTGAACGGTCTCCGAATCTCTCCATGCTGGTGAATTAACAATCATCCTTAAAGACCTGAGGCACACGTGTCTTTGTCCTCATTGTAGATGAAGTGCGCACAGGGACCTACAGGCAGCTCTTCCATCCGGAGCAGCTGATCACTGGAAAGGAAGACGCAGCCAATAATTACGCCAGAGGCCATTACACCATCGGCAAGGAGATTGTTGACCTGGTCCTGGACCGGATCCGCAAACTGGTAAGATCACTGGGAAGGCTTCCTGTTGACATTGTCCTGGATGAGAGAGTAGGCCTTGCATTGGGACCAGGAGGTCATTTTGGCAAAACCCAGGCCAGAATTGTGACTCTGTCATCTTCCTTTCTGAAGTGCATTCATACATCTTAGTGTCTGCTTTGCCTCACCTCAAAGTGTAATGAATGTTCACTGGGGACAATTTGAATCCATGTGCTCTTGTAGAGGCAAGGAGAAGCAACCCGCAGCCTGTTGGAGACTGGCGGTATGGCGTATGCAGGTATTAATCACGGTCTCTGCTTTCCCTCAGGCGGATCTGTGCACGGGGCTGCAGGGCTTCCTCATCTTCCACAGCTTCGGGGGTGGCACCGGCTCTGGGTTTGCATCTCTGCTCATGGAGCGGCTCTCGGTGGACTACGGCAAGAAGTCCAAGCTCGAATTTGCCATTTACCCAGCCCCCCAGGTGTCCACGGCTGTGGTGGAGCCCTACAACTCCATCTTGACCACCCACACAACCTTGGAACATTCTGACTGTGCCTTCATGGTGGACAATGAGGCCATCTATGACATATGTCGGCGCAACCTGGATATCGAGCGGCCCACATACACCAACCTCAATCGTCTGATTGGGCAGATCGTGTCCTCCATCACGGCCTCCCTGCGCTTCGACGGGGCCCTGAACGTGGACTTGACGGAATTCCAGACCAACCTGGTCCCGTACCCCCGCATCCACTTCCCCCTGGCCACTTACGCCCCGGTCATCTCTGCTGAGAAGGCCTACCACGAGCAGCTGTCCGTGGCTGAGATCACCAATGCCTGCTTCGAGCCGGCCAATCAGATGGTCAAGTGTGACCCTCGCCACGGCAAGTACATGGCCTGCTGCATGTTGTACAGGGGGGACGTGGTTCCGAAAGATGTCAACGCGGCCATCGCTACCATCAAGACCAAGCGCACCATCCAGTTTGTGGATTGGTGCCCGACAGGATTTAAGGTAGGGCTGCGTGATAGCGAGTGGTTTAACCTTTCAGCATTTAGTAGACCTTGCAATAGAATGCTGCCCTCGTGGAGAACACCCCTGTTCCATGGCCACTACACTCTTGGTGTGGTCATAAATAATTGTATCAGAGTGGTAGTTTATTCGGTGGTGTCATGTAACTTCTTTTCTGAGTCATCACACTGTTCATCTGTGGTGAGAAAATTTTTTAACAAAACAGGAAATTTTCTGAAGGATCTTTGTTCCCATTTGGATGGTGGAATTAGTGCAGGAAACGTTGGTTGGCCTTAGAAATGATACTTTTTCTCATAATAGGAATTTTCTTAAAATAGCAGTTTTTTCTTAAATAGAAATGTAGGAATTTTCTGGGCATTTTGGTAACTCACAAATATTTGAAATCTGGGCATTACTGTAAACCTATTCCAACATGTACTTGGAAGCCGAATAACAATGTTAGGCTCTAGACCTGTTATCAGGCTAAGTGCTTCATCATGCTTGGGTTCGTTAACTTTGTTCCATCTTCTTTAAGTCCTTGCTCACAGTTGGTTTCTGCATTAGATAAAGCTGTAGACCCCACATTTGTAAGCCCTGATGGTACTCTGAGGAGTTTGGGGAGTTGCAAGTTCCAGGGCCATGCCAGATTGAAAATGACAGGTAGTGGTAATATGTGTCATATTCCCATTTGGAATGGCTATAGCTTGCCTGTGACTACACACAAGTTGTCGAAGTTGTCTCGCCCTTTGTCAGTTCCACTTTAAGACACACAGATCATCTCTGTGGACATAAAACTGATTTAAAGTGACTCACAGGTAAGGGTAAAATCTACAACAGGTTTCACCAATCTGGAAATATTCATTTAGACTTACATAGGTTTGCAGACATTAGAGGTAATAGATTGGAACTGAAACCTTCCGTTCTTTGTGTCTAATTACCAAGTTCTTGACTTGAGTGGAGGCAATTCTTTCAGTCAGTCACTGTGACCTTTGGAAAGTAAGGACATCCATGACAGCCTCAGCTGGGAGGTCTGTGCCCTGTACCCAGATTTTCTATTGTAGCTAAGTCTCTGGCTCCTGTGACCCAGTAGGGAGGCTGATCTATGGGGAGGTGCACGAAGTTAAAGCTTCTACTGTCTCCACAGAAGACAGTCCAGCCTCAGATGAACCATGTTGAATTCTCATTGCTTTTTTTTTGGTTTGGTTTATAATTTCACTGTATGTCATTTGCTCAGGGATATGCTCTTTTCAAGGACTCTTCCATATTTAAATACTTTCAGTTATAAAAATGCATGTGGCAAAATATTAAAACAATGCAAAAGGCTGAAAAACTAAAGTTCTCTTCCCTTCCCCAGAGCTTTGTCTTTCAAGAGATATTCTGTGTAAAGGTACATTATGCCTCATTATATGGGTGATGTTGACAGAGGCCAGCAACATAGGCAAAGGATGCACAATTTTTTCACATAGGTGACAGACTAAACTCACTGAACACAGATGGCCAAAAAGAACAGAAAGCTAGCAGCGTTCCCACTTGGGAGGGGCTGTCTGGCCTGGCCTTAGAGCTGTGGGAGGGTACCCCTTGATCAGGGTTGGAACCCCATGTATCCTTTTCCTGCCCCTCCAGACTTTTGGAGACTGGCTGTGTGCCTGGTGGCTGCTTTCTGCTTACCAGGACAGGTGGTGACTGCCTTGGCACACTCCCAAGCATTTGTATTTCTCTAGCATGATGTTCCCTTAACTGTCCAGGGCTCTAGCCTGTTTGTTATGCTATAACTATTTGTAAGCATAAATACATAGAATTCAACTTGCTAGTTTTCTTACCAAGTATACCATATACCTTGGACAAATTTATATGCCAGGACAGAGTGCTCATTCTTTTTTATGATGGTACATAGTGTTTCATGGTATGGGCATAATATTTTAACTTAGTTCCATCATAGTTCCCCATGATGGACATGTTTCCAGTTTTGTTATTACAGTGTGTTAACCTAAGTACATAAACATTTTTATACATGTAGCTTTGTGCTCTCGTTTGGGTAAACTCAAGAAGTGAAAGTATATAAAGGATATTAAATGTAGATATTGCCAAAAAATAATGTACCAATTTCTGTGGGGCATCATTTAAACCATGTCCATAGGTTCAGTTTTGAAAAACAAGCTACTATTTCTGAAGCCACAACATAAACTTTTATGTTTCCCTTCTCTGGTAGGTGGGCATCAACTACCAGCCCCCCACCGTCGTCCCTGGGGGAGACTTGGCCAAGGTGCAGCGGGCTGTGTGCATGCTGAGCAATACCACCGCCATCGCCGAGGCCTGGGCCCGCCTGGACCATAAGTTCGATCTCATGTATGCAAAGCGAGCCTTTGTGCACTGGTATGTGGGGGAGGGCATGGAGGAAGGGGAGTTCTCTGAGGCCCGGGAGGACCTGGCAGCTCTGGAGAAAGATTATGAAGAGGTGGGCGTGGATTCTGTGGAAGCAGAGGCCGAAGAAGGAGAAGAATACTGAATGGAAGAGTGCAGCTGGCAACCATCCCTTTGTATTCCCATCTATAACATTACAAGATATGTTTACCTATTAAAGTTTCTGTATTGAGGCATCATCTGTCCCTTGTGCTGCACTGTGACAAAATTCCCCTGATACCTGCCTTTTTCCAAGTGGATTTATAGGGAAAAAACATGTTTCCTCTTAGACTGAAAAAATTATGTATGTTTAATTGTGTCTGCATGTTTAGCTACTGCATTACTCCTAGAAAGGCTTCAAAAGGCATGGCTCAGGGAAGTAGGAAAAAAAATACTTTGATTATTTTAAACATTCTTTAAATCCTTTGTCCCAACCCATGCTTGTTCTTTGGAGAATGGAAAAGTAATCTGGTTTTTTTCTGAGTCATGGCATGGCTGTTTTCACCCTAACTCTTGGGAGGGGCCCTTAAAGCTGCCTCACCTAACTCAAAGCCACTTCCTGACCTCCCTTTCCACAAAGGCCCTTAGCTTTTCCGTCATGTCCCTGCAACAAGTCATTAAGGCAAGTCATTACATAGAACCTTCTGCCCAACACACTTCCCCAGAACTACCGCCCACCCTTCCCATTACAGGCACTGCCACCAGGCAATCATAAATCCTTGGTCCTTGTCTTTCTTGCCGAAAGAATTCGACAGAGACAGAGTATGAGTGAAAGTAATGGCTTTATTAAGCAAGATTATGGGCATAGGAAGATTATGGTCTGCCTGTGAGTGAGCTACGTCCTGACTGGTTTCTAGATTTGCAGATTATATGGGTTGGCGTTCCTGATTTCCTCTGAAGGCCACCCCTTGATTTGTTTTCCTTACTTGGGTTTTCTGTTCACCATCTTGAGCGAAACCCTCAATGCTAATGATATGTATAGTAAACTTATAATGAGCAAGAGATTACTTCAGGATACTAGAGACTACAATTTGCATGTGCACTGCCTGGGGATTTGTGGTTCCTTAAGACAGTCTTTAGTCTGGGCCAATCACATAACAGTGGTTTTGGAAGGTAAGCCAGATCTCACAGCTGAATGTCAGAGCTACCCTGGGTCCTGTTTAACTCCTGCTTTGTATCCACTGAGAGACCTGATCCTCAAAATCTTTTGTGGGGAGATGAGGGACCAAGATCAGCCTTCTTTAGCTGCTTCTTGCTGATAAGGGGCAGTAGGCTCTATCTAGTGAGGACCACGGAATTCCCACCCTGCCTGGTCAAGGGATCCCAGTGTTCACTCTGCTGTAGCTGTCGGTTCTGTCTCAAAGGAATGGGTTGAAATCCCTGCATAATCATCGTTTTAACATGAAACTGTTATAATCTGGAAAAGATAATTTTATTAGATTAAATATTCATGGTCCAAAGAGGAGAAGTATTGAGATGAGAGGGCCAACAAAGGGAAGGAGCCAGGAAACCCAAGACCAGGTAGTTTCCCAAGAGAACTAACCCTGGGCAGCCTGCTTGATAAGTTGGGATGCCTTGGATAGGAACCCCTGAATGTCTTCTTGTACCTGGCCTGTTTGACCTCAAAACAGCATTGTTCATTTAACATGGTGCAAACACCTCCCTTGGCAATTAAGGTATCAAGTGCTCTGCTGTTTTGTAAAACCACTGCTGCTAATGAATTGGTTTTGAAAATGTCTAATAGAAATGGCCACCAGGTGTTTAGATCTGCTAGCTCAAGTAAGAGGTTGTGGTATACTTGTGAGGAGGTAATTATTCCTGCCGGTCCTGTGGCTCCTCCAGTCACTATTCCCAGTCCATTCTTGCCATTCCCATGGCTGCTGTGGTCGCTATTCCCAGTCTAACTAATAAGGGAATCAAGATGCGTATTCTTTTTAATCAGAGACGGGGTGTGGTGGAAAGAGCATGCATGAGTAGATAATCGGAGAGGGCTATATCCAAAGGTAAGTATTTGTCTCACAAAGGAAATATCCTGATTTACTAGGAAGGAATCCAGATAGAAGATACTGTTGAGTTTTATGATTTAGTTACATAAGTAGCAGCAAGGGTGGCAGTGGCTAAAGGAGTGAGACAAAGCATGGAAGCTTAAGACCCTATTGGTGAATTTTCCCAGAAGGGAATAATGCTAATTTGGTGGTAGTTTGGGGGATAGCCCTCTTAGTTTCTTTCTCTGCCTTATTATTTTCCTGAACCATATAGCACCCATCTTTTTGATGGCTGCCTCAGTGTATTACCTCTACCTGTTTTGGTTCCTTGACCACCGCTAGGAATTGTAGGATTTCTGGCCCCTGTTTAATAGTGGTATTTTTGGCAGTTAAAAGTCCTCTTTCTTCCTAGATGGTGGCATGAGCCTGTAGAACAAGGAAGGCATATTTTGAATCTATGTAAATAGTCGATTTTATCTTTTCCTAGGATTAAAGCTCACATCAAAGCAATGAGCTCTGCCTTTTAAGCCAAGGTCATGATTGGCAAAAGATGAGCCTCTATGACCTCCTATAGGCTCACAACAGGATATCCTGCTTTTCTTTGTCCATTTTGTATAAAGCTGCTGCCCTCAGCAAACCATTCTTCCTGATTGTCAAGGGGTATATCTAAAAGGTTGATTCTGCTTGAATAAACCTGGCCAATGACGTCTAGGCAGGAACGGGTTAGCACTGGGGACGTCTCAGTTGGCATAAGAGAAGTTGCATTTAAAGTATTACAGGGCTTTAGAATAACCTCCGGAATATCTAAAAGAAGGGCCTGATATTTAGTGAGTCTTCCTCTAGTAAGCCAGAGATGGCCCTTCATTTCTAAGACTCCCTGGACTTGATATGAGGTGAAAACTTCTAGTCTTTGCCTTCAGGTTAATTTGTTGGCTTCCTCTACTATTAAAGCAGCGGCACTACTGTCCTTAGGCAGTGTGGTCATCACAGGCTATGTTATCTAGCCTCTTAGTAACTCACCGGCTAAGGGATGTCCTCTAGTTTCTGTACTAGGATTTTCATTACTGTTTCTTGTTTCTCTGCTACATTCAGTAAAAAGGGCTTATTTAAATCAAGAAGGCCTAAGGCTGGGGCCTTGGTTAGGGCCCTTTTAATTTCCTCAAAATCTCTATTTTATTCTCCTGTCCATTCCAGAGGTTTTTAATCAGGGCCCTCAGTGGCCTAATATAAAGGCTTAGCTATTAGTCCAACCTCTGGGATCCAGATACTGCAGAAACCTGCCATTCCAAGGAACAAGTATAATTGTTTTAGTTTTTGGAACCTCAGAGCTTAGAATGGCCTGTTTCTGGCCCCCAGATAGCTGTCTATTTCCAAGAGTTAAGATATATCCTAGATAGCTGACTCATTGCTGAGAGACCTGAGCTTTTTTTGTGAAACCTTTTCTCTTCGACCTTCGAGAAAATTAAGAACAGTGATAGTATTTTGATTTGAGGCTTCTCTAGAGGGACTGCACATTAGGAGATCATCTATATATTGGAGAATAGTCCCCTTTGTAAACTGTGGTTGTCTTTTAAGTCCTTTCCCAGCATCTGGGCAAATGGGACTATCCCTAAATCCCTGGGGTAGTACTGCCCAAGTATATATGGTTGTGAACACCCAGTCACAGGATCCGTCCACTAAGAAGCAAACAAATATTGTGAAGGCAGATGGACAGGACTGTCCTCCCCACCCCCCAAAAAAAGGCATTTTTTAAATCTAGGACAGTAAACCCATTGGTATCAACCGGGATTTGGGCTAGTATGGTATGTGGATTTGCTACAACAGGATGAAGAGGAACCACAGCTTCATTTATTGCCCTTAAATCCTGGACCGTTTGATATTCTCCATTAGGTTTGCTTATGGGAATGAGGGTGTTATATGGTAACTGACAGGGTACCAGGAAGCCATGTTTAAAATTTTTTTCTATGAAAAGTTGAAGTCCCTTCAGGGCTGCTTTCTGAAGTAGATACTGTTTTTACGAGGGTATTTAATCCCAGGCCGTAGATTTATTACTATTAGTTAAGCTGTTAAGGCCTTGCCAGGAATACCCTGGTCCCAAATTGAAGATTCTACCTTTTCTAGGGTATAAGCTGGGACCTGAGTAACGGTACCATCCTCAGATAGTATCATGGTTAAAGCTGGTCCAGGGGTGTCTCCTGGTAAACCTTAATATATTCCCTGAGCTATTTAGAAGGTTTCTCCCCAGCAGGGGAATATAGGACAGTGGGGCATAACTAGGAAAAAATGTGATTAATTTACCTCAGAATTGGCAAGGAAGAGAGAGGATAAAGAAACAGGTTTTAGGATCTCCATTTACCCCAGTAATAAGTATATTCTTGGAGGTTAAAGGTCCAGTGTAAGAGATCGGAGCAGATTAAGTGGCCCCTGTATCAATAAGAATATCAGATTGCTTACCTGCCATGTCTAGGGTCACCCAGGGTTCTTTGGTGGTGATGAGGTCATTGGTGGGTTTTAGGGCCATTGGTATCCCCAGGCCTCTTCAATCCTCTAGTGTAGCCATTGTTGAGGCAGATTGCTTCCATACTCAGACTGGGGGCAGTCTTCATTCCAATGGCCTGTATCTTTGTAGAGAGGACATGGCCCTGGGGGCAGCTTGCATTTGAAGCAGGTTCCATTACCTTGATTACCTGTAGTGTGGGGTCTTCTTGGTCCCTCTGAGTGGCCCTGAGGTGGCAGGATATTTCCAACTGTACTGCTGACAGCCAGGGCTATTAATTTAGCCTGGGCCCTATTCTGTCTTTTCTCATGCTGGAGCTTTTCCTCTTAATTTTGGTCACAGTTTTTAAAGAAGGCGATGTCCAGTAGTTATGCCATTGGCGTTTGAGATCCTAAAACTTCTGGAGTTTTTCCTGACAATCAGGGGCTGACCGATTAATAAAATGTTGGCCCATTAAAAGACTGGCCCTCAGGGATAGAAGGATCTAGGTTGGTATATTTTCTATAGGCCTCTATAAGTCACCCGTGGAAAAGGGCTAGGTTTTCATCTTTCCTGAGTTATTCCTTTTAACTTTTCATAGTTAATAGGCTTTTTAATGCATTTTCTCATTCCTCCTAAGAGGCACAAAACCATATGGTCCCTTCTCTGATTTCCCAATTCTATAATTTGGGTCCTGGTTAGGGACCGCTTGGGCTCCTCCAACATAGGTGTCCGGTTGATCAACTGACATTTGATCTCCATGCTGTTGAGCTGCCTCCCAGATTGTGTTTCTTCGGGAGTGCAGCAAGTAGTAATTACAATATAAATCTCTCTCCGAGTTAGGTCAAAGGCCAAAAAGTCTGTGCTTGCAAATTATCACTGAATCAGGAGGAGTCTGCAGAGGACTATCCAAGCCTTTCCTTACATTGAACTAAGTCCCTCAAGAGACGGACGTGGACTCAAATAATCCCTTTTCCATCAGCTACCTCCCACAAGGGTAGTATTTTTTGGGGTGCAGGATGATAGGAAGTCTCACTATGGGTGACTCCTGCAGGGCTGACTTCTACGTTTCCAGAAAGGCTTAGATAAATGGGAGTATAAGGCAGAGGGCCTATTTATTGGCCCTGGTTCTGAATTGGGACTGTCAGGAATAGATGAGGGAAGGGGGGCCCTGCCTCCAGATTGGGGGGGGGTATCTGAGGTCCCCCCTGACAGACAGTGGGTTGTTGAGAAGGGAAGCATCCAGAATATCAGGAGGGCTCTCCCTTGCCCCTGGTTTCTGGGTGCGGGGACTATAGAGAGCAAGATTTTTGGTATAGAATCATAAAGGCCTGCATGTAGGGGATTTCAGACCATTTTCCCTGTCTTCTGCAGAATAAATCTAGTTGTAAAACGATATAACTTAGGCTTACATTTCCTCATTTTCCTCTGTTTCCTAATTTATATTGGGGCCATATATGTTACAAAATATTAATCTTTTTTTCCTTATGTCACCTAGTTTATATCTACTCCAATTAAGATGTATCCCAGCAGGAACTCAGGTGGAATGGAAGATGTTCCCCCATATCGATGAGCAACCTGTAATGAATAAAGAATGTTTTTAGATATCTACAGGTGTTCATGTATTTCCAAGAACCTTTTGGAACTGATGGGGATCATGCATCCTTGATTTCCCATAGTTATTAGCAGGTAGTCAGGTGTCCCTGAGTATCCCACTGACCTCTGGCTAAACGTCTCCAGCAGCAGCAGCCTAGGCTGCCCACACACTATGAAAACCTGAGCTCGTCTTTTGGGACCTATAGATTTTATGTCCTATGATCAATCTTCCTAGACTCCCTACTCCTGGCATCGGTATGTATTAACCACCTTACTGTGTCCCAAGCTCCCTCTTAGAATGGCCAATCTAAATAGTCAAAAGAGAGCTAATGCTTCCAAAGGCAGCGGTTGCCACTGGCGCTTACAGATTTCAGTTCTCTGAGAAATGTACTGTCGGATGCGGCTGAAATTATATAGTCCAATTATGACCCAGTTCCAAGTGTCCTCATGCCTCCCGCGGATAGAAAGCAGGTGGGACAGGAGACAGGCGGAGATTAAAGTCTCGGTTATCGGAATCAGCAAGAATGTTTTCAAAAGCAAAGGACCAGAGATGTGGCCAAGTTCTTGTGTTCCAGAGACAAACAGCAGGAAACCCCATGCTAGAGTCTAGGAGATGAAAGCAACAAACTCGAGGAGCGTGGCAGCCAATGAGAGAAGCTGTGATCCCCAGAGGGACTCCTGTTCGGAAGTCTTGCAGAGAAGAAAAAAATAAAGAGGAGAGAAAAAGAATCATGTCCGGAGAGAAGTTAGAAACCGGAGTAGCCAAAGTTAGGTCGGATGTACTTCGGTCCTCTAGCCCGGGCGAGGACCCCTTACCTTAGCACCTTAGCGATCCGAGTCAGGGTACCAACACCTCTCCAGAAGTTAAATCGTGAGTACTGGTTTGTGTCACGTTCTTTAGATCACGCGTTCCGGTCACCACTTCTTGCCGTGGGGGTTTCCTTTCTTGCGATCGGGGCCTCCCCGGGCGGCTTGCATGGATCCTGAGGCACTGCCAGTTTCCCGCTGCCGCACCGCGCAGACCGCTACGCCCGGCTCTGCGCCGCCGAGTGTTGGATGCCGGGCATTGACTGCCAAGAATTAACCCCGAAAAAACAAAGGAGAGGTACCCACATTGCGAAGGCGCAGGCGTCCAAAGACCACGAGATGACGCCAGCATTGCGGCGACACCGCGATCCCGCCGCTTCCGGGGATCGCCCCTCCCCTCGGGCGACCGCTCCGCGCTTCCGAGTCTCTATGGTACTAACTTCCGCCACTCTCCACACATCGCGAGACTTCGGCGGCTTAGCAATGGCGCGACCGTGAGCGCCGCTGACGGGAGTCAGGAGGACCGGCTGGGAAGAGGCTCGGGCGAGATCCAGCCAGGAGAAACCCGGAAGGCCAAGGCCGCCCGAATCGGAGCGGCGGCTGGGGGCGCGAGGCCCCTCCTGGTCCGGACATCCGCCCGCGACCAAGCTCCCGCCTCTTCCCCAGATGCCGCGTCACTGCTCCGCCGCCGGCTGCTGCACTCGGGATACGCGCGAAACGCGCAACCGCGGCATCTCCTTTCACAGGTCAGCGCGCGTGCGTGCTGGCGCGCGAAGGTTCACGTGTGCATGTGCCCACTTTGCCCACCGCGTGAAGCCACGATTGCGCATGCGCCTTCTCAAGTTGCGCGGGGGAAGACTTGAATTTGTGGGTGGAGAGGATGAAGAGGACAGTTTGGGTGGGAATGAGTTTAGACTGGAAAGAAAGAACTGGAAGTTTGCGGGGACTGTTCTGCGACTCTTACCTGCTGGATGGTCCTTACCAAGTTGCTCTCCTTTTTAGGCCTCAGTTTCTTCGTCTGCCCGGGTGGGCGGTGCTTACCTGACAGGATTGAAGGGCAGTCTCTTGGCAACATGTTCAGGGCCTGCTCTTCCCACCTGGGGAGCTTAGGCAGCATGAGCCCAGGGCTGCAGGCAGCCTGCGGCTCACGGGTTTGTGGCTCCACAGACTTCCCAAAAAGGATAACCCAAGGCGTGGCTTGTGGCTGGCCAACTGCCAGAGGCTGGACCCCAGCGGCCAGGGCCTATGGGACCCAGCATCCGAGTACATCTACTTCTGCTCCAAACACTTCGAAGAGAACTGCTTTGAACTGGTGGGAATCAGGTGAGCTCCTTGCCAGCCAGTATTGGGGCCTCTATAGGAGGTCCCTAGAGCAGCTGGCACGGGAACAGGCAGACCTGGCTTCGAGGGTAGCTGCCTCTTCCCATCTCTGTACTTCAGTTTCCTCTTCTGACAGATGAGGACAATAAGACTCACCTCAGGATGACTGTGCCAGTGATGCAAGAAAAAAACATTAGCTTTTCCAGAAGGTGTTTTTAGCACTCCAGTCCTTCCCCCCAAGTCCACAAATGAAATAATTCTTTTTGGTTGTTAACTCGGTTCTGGTGGAGCTTTTCCATGCACCGTAACTTTGAAGAGGCCTGCGGGGAAGAGATTGGTGTAACTCTGCCTAACTTGACATTCCCAAAACTAATTCTTTGCTGTATGCCTTCCCACTCCCACCTTGGTAGCAGTGGAGACCCTGCTCTGGGGTGCTGGAGGGCATGCAGGCTCTGCACCCCCGCAGGTCAGCTGGGAGTGGCAGCGCTTGTTCTCCATCTCATGCAAGCTGCTTTCACCCACAGTGGGTATCACAGGCTGAAGGAGGGGGCAGTTCCCACGATATTTGAGACTTTCTCCAAATTGCGCCGGACAACCAAGAGCAAGGGGCACAATTACACACCTGGCCCCCCTGATGTCAGCCGGCTCCGGCGATGCAGGAAGCGGTATGTGCTACAGGTGGGGGGTGCCCCACTCCCACCCCAAGTCTGAGGGATTTGGCTTTAGGGTGTCTAAGGCTGTGGAGAGGGTTCAGGGAGCTAGTGAAGCGGGGTCTGGCAAGATCTTAGCCTGACTGGTCAGTCTCTCTCTCTCCCCACAGCTACTCGGAGGGCCGAGGGCCCACAACTCCTTTCTCTCCACCTCCACCTGCTGATGTCTCCTGCTTTCCTGTGGAAGAGGCCTCAGCACCTGCTGCTTTGCCTTCTTCTCCCACTGGAAGGCTGGAGCCTGGCCTCAGCAGCCCCTTCTCAGACCTCCTGGGGCCCCTGGGTGCCCAAGCGGATGAAGCGGGCTGTAGCACTCAGCCTTCACCAGAGCGAGAGCCAGAGCGGCAGCCATCCCCTCTTGAGCCGCGGCCTGTCTCACCCTCAGCCTACATGCTGCGCCTTCCACCACCCGCTGGAGCCTACATCCAGAATGAGCACAGCTACCAGGTGGGCAGTGCCCTGCTCTGGAAGCGGCGGGCTGAGGCTGCACTTGATGCTCTGGACAAGGCCCAGCGCCAGCTGCAAGCCTGCAAGCGGCGGGAACAGCGGCTGCGGCTGCGGCTGACCAAGCTGCAGCAGGAGAGGGCACGGGAGAAGCGGGCACAGGCGGATGCTCGTCAGACTCTGAAGGAGCACGTGCAGGACTTTGCCATGCAGCTGAGCAGCAGCATGGCCTGAGAGGCCACTGGACCCAGGGCTGAGGGTTTGCCCGTCAGGGCTCTGGCCTCTTCCTCAGTATACACCTAGAGAAGGACTTGATCTAAGCTGCATCCACCAAATGCCGTAATAAAGAGGATTTCTGAAGGAGGCCCTGTATCTGTCCGTCAGGGCTCTGGCCTCTTCCTCAGTATATATACACCTAGAGAAGGACCTGATCTAAGCTGCATCCACCAAATGCCATAATAAAGAGGATTTCTGAAGGAGGCCCTGTATCTGGTTCAGTACCAGGCTTGTTTCCGCATACAGTGGCTAGAACACCCAGAGGGCTCAGACCCTGGGGTCCAAGCTCTCAGCTGTGGAAAGCAGAGAGGCCAGGTCTTGCCCACCCCTCCCAGTATAGGTCTGTGCCCAACAAGGTTCTCTGACAGACTAGATGCTGTGAGTAGAGGCCAAGGGCAGCACTGGATACCCTTTCTTTGGCACCTTAAATTGACTTGACTTAAGCAATCTGGTCCCTTTGAAAATACTCCTAAAACCTAGGCCAGACTCAGTTCTTTTGTAAGGACACAGCATACTACCATCCAAGGCCCAGTCTACCCAGACTGAGTTTTAGCCTGCAGGCCAGCCCCCCTACTCACCAGTGCCTCATCTGCAAGTAGACAAGGGTGACAGTTTTTGACCACCTGTGGCTGCTATACTTGGCAAGTAGTGAGGGCCTAACAAATGACATTTCTAGGCCTTGGAGGTCTAGAGAGAGGTGAGGGAAGCACACAGGCAGCAGTACTGACCTCAACTTCCAACCCCATTTTTCTTCAACTCAGCTGGGATCTGGAAGGCCTCCCTGCATCTGTGATCATAGCAAACAGCTCAGTGCATGGGGCAGTTTTAACCACACAAGTGACTCCCTGCTGGGCCTTGGCCACAACCCCAAGAGTTGAATTCTAGTCCTGCAAACTCCCCAATGGTCTTGAAATTTGCTTTTTAGAGCCTTGGCATATAGCTTCATTTGTTCATATCATGTCTAGAAAAGACAGTCTAGCAGCCAATTACAAGGGTCCCCACTGGTCTGCTATAGACCACAGTTTGCAAATAATTCCCTAAGGCTCCAGGCTTGTTTTGCCCCAGGCCATTTCTTCCCTAGTGGGCAGCCTTACGGATAGGCTCCCTTTGCCTAAAGGTGCCCACCTGCCACCAAGGCTCCCCATCCGCCTGCCCCTTGCCTCTTCGGCAATGGCTGAGTAGCAAGTGCCACATTTGTGTAGGGGCACAAAGAAAGCGAGCTTCAAGGCAGGGAAGAAATTATTTCCCCTAAAATGGTTTCCTGGCAGCTGGGGCAGAAAGATCCTTGTTCCCAGAAAGGAAGCAAATTGGTGTGTTCCACAATGGGATGGACTCACACAGGGGACGGGGAGGACACAGTAGCTCATCCCCACTTCCCAGCCAGGCAAGAGCTTACAGTGCAGCATAGGAAAAAGGCAGCTCCAGTGGTGGTTTGGGGAGGTTGGCACCACAGGAGGGGAGGAGGAGTCAACCTGCCACATCTGCTCTCCCCACATGTCTGGACCACCCCAAGCAGAGGCAGGGAGTTGCTGACATAGATAGAGAACCAGGCAAGACTGGCCAATCCCAAGCAATTAAGCCAAATGGCCAGTCCACAGCTTTGGAAGGGCCAAGGGCTGAGGCCAGAGCTCACTAGTGGGGAATCATGCCAGCTCAGCTGGCTGTGTGTAGTAGCTACCACTGCAATAGCTTTAATAGAGACATGTCTATGACAATAAATAGGGACAGACAGGGACCTGGGAGACATCTTTGCTGCCTTCTCCTTGGCACAGCCCCAGAGCCCCAAGATTCATACAGGCACATGTGATCCTGCAGCCCCTCTGGAATCCAGGCGTAGTCCAAAGTGATTGACCCTGTGAGCTGGGAGCTAACCTCAGAGCCCTTCACACCCAAAAATTCATCTTGAAGGGCACCAAAATTCATATTGAGTCAGACTCCATTTGCCCATCACTATTGTCCACTGCAAGCTCCAGGTGACAGGAGGGGTCCCTTACATGGATCTTCACAAGGGTGAGTGAATACTGTGTGGCCCCCACATTAGAGAATCCTTTGCAACATGTCACAGTGGCCAGACCCACAAGCCACGCTGGGTCTCTGCCGGGCGGGGGGCCCAAAGCCTGTTCCCTGGTGGGCTTTTCCCACCACTGGGGCGCTAGCCAGGACCTCTGCCTCCTGCTGGGTCCTCTTCACTGAACTCTAGATTTCCACCAGCCCTCCACCCCAGAAGAGAGTGCTAGCCAGGGGTTCTGCTTCACCGTCCACTTTCTGTGGGCTGTGTCTTTAACCGTAAAATGGAGCATTTGGAGCTCCCCACGACCAGCATGTTCTGCAGGGCCATGGAGGCCTCGATGTACTTCTGATATCCCCTCAGCTCCTTCTGAGGCTCAGCACCCTGCCCCTCAGCCAGCAGGTCTGACCACTCCGTCACAGGCCTGAGGGTAGGCAGCAGAGTCTTTACGGGGGGCAGGGCAGGCATGGTCATTCTCCACGCATGGGCTGGCACTGCCTGGCCTTTAGATGTCAGCGCCCAACTCTGCACACTGCTTGTCGGAGATGTGAGAGGCCAGGGAGTCTATGATGTCAAGCAGCAGCTGCTGGCTCAGTGATCGCAGCGTGGGTAGCTTGGAGACCTGCAGGAGGTGACCAAAGGCCAGAACAGATGGAACCGGATTCACATGAGAGCCTGGTAGGCTCCAAACACGGGGCGAGGCATGGCCAGTGGGTGGGTAGCTCTGCTTGGTTATCCCCAGGGCCCACAGCTACAGAAGACAGCCAGATTCCAGATACCTCCCCCACCCCAACTGACCAAGGCTGATGCCAAGGGAGAGTGGGTCCTGAATATGAGGAGTGGGCAACGAACGCTGGGCCAGGAGAGCCCTGACCTTGGTGAACTGGTGCACGATGATGTGCAGGCAGTGTCGCTTCATGTCCAACGCCTGTGTCTTGTCAGCTGCCTCCAGGATCTGAAATGGCAGGTTCCTTAGGGTATTGTCTCACCCTCTCACCCACCCGCTTGAGTGAAGGGAGGCCAGCGGGCACCAGGCGCACTACCTGCAGCACGTTCTGCACCGTCACGTTCATCTCCAGGTTCTGCTTGCAGTAGGCCTGCAGCCGGTTGTTGTAAAAGCCATAGTAGTAGGGGGCCGCGAACAGGTAGCTACAGCAGGCTGGTTAAGGAGCTGCTGACAAAGGAGCCGTTCTCCCACCCACCACCCTGCTCCATGAGGAGGGTACATCCAGAGCCTCCACATGCCGGGGGCAGAGACTGCAGCTGCTCAGAACCAGGGAAACCACTCCAATCCAGGCAGGTCACTGACTTGATCTCTACACGGGCTCCAAACCACTTAGGGTTCAAAGGCCTCCCTCCTCGAGATCCAAAGAATACGACAGAATCCTCTCTCCAAGAAAAGACCCATATGCATATTTGCAGAACCATCCACAGCCTCCCAGAGCCCTGAAGGGCATCCTTGCACCCTATGTTCAGATCCCAACTGAAGTGCCATGACCAGGAATCACTCCATGTCCATCTGTTTGCCCGTCACACAGCGATGACCGACTCCTTATTCCAAGCAGGTGTGAGAGTCAAGAACCCACCCGTCCTTCCTGGCTGCAAACCCCTCCATGCTAGCTGACCAAGTGCTTCAGAGAACTCTGGGAGAATACCAGGCAGCACTAGAAAGGCCTCCAGAAATTTCCCAGTCAAGACTACTGGCCAGTTGGGTCCCAAAGCTGCCCAAGGTGGGCGATGGGGCCCCCAGTGATGACCCGGGAGCACCCTCAGGGGAAAGGATGCAGCGAATCTTCGGGTGGCATGTTGACCTCGCCATAGTAGATGTAGCGCAGCATAGATTCGAAGGCTTGCCTGCTAGGTACCATCTCCCCAATGGAGATGTTTACCTGCCCATCCTCGGGCATAAAGGACCGGAACATGGCCTCAAAGTAGCTACAGACAGGGGAAGCAGAGGCCTGGCTCTCAACAGATACAGCCAGTGCCTGGGCCCCGCCCAGCCTTGCAGCCGTACCCCACTCACCTGGAGCGGGCAGCCAGGATGGCCTTGTGGGCTGGCCGAGGGTGCCCATCCAGCAGCAGCGTGATGTCACAGAACTCCGCGCCAGCCCCCTCTAGGTACGCCTTCATGTCCTGGATCAGAGATGTGCCTGGGGGTAGGGGGCATGGAGGGACCCTGAGTAGGTGCCCCTACCTCCAGGAGACTCTGAGATGGAGGGCTGCTTCTGACTCAGGCCTCAGGGCACTGCCTCCTGCACATCCACCCATTTTCCACCCTGAATGAACCTCCCCCAGGCCAGAGGCCTCATTGTGGCCTTTGAGGTACTACCAGGCCCTGTCCTCTTCTCCCCTCGGCCCCAAACATGACCCTCAGGCCTACCCATCCCCCAGTCTTATCTTCTCAGCCCACTTAGACCTCCTCTGGGCTTGGCACACCCTGTTTGCCTGCTGTGTGTCACCTGGAGCCAGTGGTCAGGGGCAGTACAGGCCCCAAGGAGAATCAAGGATGAAGGAGCCTATGACATCCCTTCCTAGGCTAGGTGGGGACAAGGAGGCACTGGGAGCATCTGAGGTGTGCAGGCTGTGCTCACCCTCACTGGACCCCAGATGTGGGTGTGCCTAGAAGAGAAGCTCAGTAACTACTCACTGCGACCAAAGTGAGAACATTGCTCACCTCTGAAGCCCTCAGACCGGATGTCAGTCAGGGCAGGCACCCGCACGAGAGGTGCCCTGTCACCTCCAGAAACATGCTCAGGAGGTTCCCTACCCACAGGCGCATGGCCCACTATGGAAAGTCCCATGGGTCAGGCATTCTTCCTTTTACTAACCCTAAACTGCCTCCCTGTCTGCCCCTGTCCCTGTGCCCGGGAAGCACTCTGGGGTCTCCCCTGCACCCACGCCCTGCCTGAGGGCCTGGCAGATGCGTCCATGGCTCCCAAGTCTTCACCAACATGAATGCCATTCTGGCTGGACACTGGTAAGGAAGGGACCAAGCTCCCTACCGATGTCCACAGGCTGGTCTGAGGGGGCACGGGGTGGTGGCTGCTGCTTCCGACGGACGATCTCCACAATCAGTGGGGACGAGAGGCGCTCGAACTCCTTCATCATGATTACCTGGTTGAAGTGGGACTCCTTCACCACGAAGTTCAGGCAGTGCTCCTGGGACAGACAGGCCGGGCAGGTAGGTGGGGTCAGGCCTCAGCCCCAACAGGGCACCAGACCAGACAAGGGGCTTGCATCAGTGGGCAGGGTAGCGTACCTTGAGCTGGCTCAGTTGTAGCCTGGCAGCGCTCTCACACACGACCAGCACGTTCTGCAGGTCCACGGAGGCCTCGATGTACTGCCGACACAGCTGCTCTAGGCGGCATAGCTGGAAGCTCAGTGCCAACTTGTACACGTCCATGATGAGCAGCACATCCTCCACATGGCCTGCGCCCAAGAGCTCCTTTAGCCTCAGTGACCAAGGGCAGGGAGTGGAGGACAGGGCCCAGGGCTCCCTCCATGGATAATTGTGGGTCAGGGCCAACGGACAGCAACTACAACCGAGCCACACACAAGCAGTCACAGGGAATCGCGGCCTCTGAGCCTCGGGCTGCCCACCTGCAAGGAGGGCTACCCGCACCCCACCCTGTTCCCCTTCCGCCCCAGACCAGACAGACCTTTTCTCGGGTATTTGATCTTGTCGGTGTAGAGGAATTGCATGAGCACCTCGAAGGGCCGGGCCTCCGCCTCTCGGATGGCGACATGCAGCATGGGTGGTCGGGCCCCGCCTACAGCCACAGCAGGGGCCTCCCTAGAAGCCGGAGCTGCCTCCTCCTCCAGTTTCTGTGGGGAGGAAAAGGGGAGTTCAAGGGCACCCCACAGATGCTGCTGCCCAGGTGGGGCCAGGTGGGGCAGCATCTCACCTGGGCCAGTCGCTCCCGTGCCTGCACGATCTTCCTGCGAAGCCAGCGGCTTCGTGCTGTGACAATGGCCACGTGGCCCTGCACACACTCTTCCTTCTGCAGCAAGAACAATGCCTTGGTGGAAAGACAAAATATCCCTACCCCAGGGGACAGAGACCCAGCCAGACAAGGCAGGGGCCTGGGGACTCCAGGTACCAGTAGACAGCCAGTGTGCCTCTGGGCTCAAAGCCCCCACACATCCACACAGTGGGCGGAGCTGGGCACAGGGAGGGCACCCACCTCGCCTAGCACAAATTCCACATCGCAGAACTGGCGGCTCTCCCACAGCCTCCCATAGTCTTCATGTAGCGTGCACTTGGGATAACAGGAGAACTGCAAGAGGAGACCCCAGTGTTGCCACTGTCGGCTCTGGCTCTGCCCCCTCCAGGCCATGAGTGCCCTTGAGGTCCCAGTGCCAAGCTCAGCTCAGCCCAGCTCCCTCCATTGACCCAGGCAGCTCCCAGGCCTCCTTTGGCTTTACTGTGAGCCCCCCACACTGTACTGAGGTTCCTGATTGCCTCAGCCTAGAGTCCCCACCCCAGCTGCCAAACTCCTCAGAAAGGCTGCCATCCCACCAGGTGCAGCCCCAGCTCTGGACACCCTTGGACAAGCCCTTCCCCCACGGACTGGGTCTCAGTTTCCATCATCAGGGCCCATCTGCCTTGGCTAGCCCCACTGCAGAATCAGCCCAAGGGGTAGCCACCTGCTCTGCAGGCCCGTGAGCCTCACCTGGAACCTGTACATCTCCCCACTGCGGATGTTGTTGTCCACAGTGCCACCGAAGATGTACATGGCATCCGAGATCACAGCAGCTGCATGGAAGAGCCTCCCACTGGGCAGCTGGGTAGAGAGGGGGACAAGTCATTAGGATGGGACAGGGCGGGGAGTCTCCACAGAGGGCTGGCTGAGGCCTGGAGTGGGCCAGGCTGTGGACAAGGATGTGGTACTACAGGACTTGGAGGGGCCAGAGCAGGTCCTAGGCACAGCCACAGGCACAAGGCAGGTATGTAGGTGAGTAGGCAGGATAGGCCCATGACCCACGGACCAGACAAGAGCAGGAACTCAGTCTCTTGTGCTGCACTGACATGGTCTGGCAGTAGGATGCGGTCTCCTGGCCTTCAACTCACTTACTGTGTGACCCTGACAAGTATCCCTTTGAGCCTCAGTCTCCCCATTTTTGAGAGAGACCGATGATAGGCCCAGCTTCAGGGAGTGGTAACTAGGGCGCCAGCCCTCACCTCTGAGGCAGGCGTGGAAGGCTGCTTGGCAGTGGTGGTGCCGAAGTCCAGGCCAAACACATCTCGGGACTTCTTGAAGCCACCTCGCTCCTCAGAAGCCAGGGCAGTCGCCTCCTCAGAAGCAGCTGCCCGCTCTGGCACCTCGGCCCCGCCAACCTGATGGGGAGATATGAGGATGCGTGGGCCAGGGAGGCACCAGAGAGGCACCAGAGTCTGCCTGCTGTCCCTGCCTAAAGCGCTGTTGGCACAGGTGTGGGGGAAGAGCCACAGGATGAGGGTGCTTGTAGCACAGCTGAGCAGGGGAGCCAGAAGAATGTCCTCAGCAAGGTGCACACATGGTGGACAGTAGAATGTTACGAGCCTGTAGGCTACAAGATGGAGAACAGGGAGAGGGGCCGAGGGCCCAGGGTCAGGCCGGGGCAGGCAACCAGGGCTGAGGGCATCCTGGCCTGGCTCCTGCTGGCTGGCTGAAGCTCCAGGAGTCCCCCAAGGCTGTGAGGAGGTGGGGAGGAGGTGGGAGCAGGTGGGTCAGGAGCCCTCCCTCCAGACCACGGGCCCTGGGTCCCCTCACCAGCAGCTGGCTGTGCTCACCTCGCTGTCTGAACTGGGCTGGACAACCTCCCAGGTCTGGAAGTCCACGTCATAGCAGTGCAACTCATTGGGCAGTGTGTTGTCTGCCGCGCCCCCAAACACATAGAGGTGGCGGTCAAAGGCCACCATGGTGTGCCCGTAGCGCCGCTGCGGGGGTGGTGGTGATCCCCGGAGCAGGTGCTCAGTGGGGATGCGAGTCCACCTTGGGACACATAACAGGGAACCAGTGCCACACAGAGGCTCCTGCTCCCCTGTGACCTCCATCTGGGCTCTGAGGACCGCCCCCACCACATGCCTAGGCTGGGAAGTGCCCTCTGGCCCCCGGAAGACCAGCCCAGGCTGAGGGAGGGCCTGTAGTGTGTGTGCCCAGTGTCCCTTGCCCCATTTCACTCTGGCACCAGCTCTGCCCACCTCTTTGTGTGGGGGAACAAAAGGGTAAGCATGAATCTGAGCCAGAGGCTGCCTGGGGGCTGGAGTGGGGCTGGCCTGTGAGGAAAGTGGCACCACACTAGCTCCACCCTACAGGGTCACCAGGGTCTCCCAACAGCCATCCTAGCTGCTGCTGGGGGCCACATTTTCCCTGGTTTTCTTCCTACCCCAACCCCTTCACTCCGAGCTGCAGCTCTGCCCCCAGCTCCGGCCTGGGCCCCTCATCCTGCAGCCTTCTGCCCTCTAGATGTACCTTCCTCAGCCTGATCCACAGGTGCCCCCATACTCCTAGGCACCCCTCAAGCCCTGTGTCTTCCCTCAATACTGACACCTCCTTGAACACCCCCTTGCAGATCAGCCACCTGTCCATCTGGCCAGAGCCTGCATGTCTGCCCCAACCCCACCCCAAATCCATGCATACCTGACCTCTCCCCATGTCCCTCACCTCTCCAGGTCTGCTCCTGCCTGCTCTGAGCTGTCTGCGCTGCCCACTTCCCTGAGGGCCAAGGCCAGGGTGTAGCAGAGAGACTGTGTGCAGTATGGTTCTCCTCTCAGGCCTGGCCACCCAGGACAGGAGAGCTAGGCAGGCATCATCAAGGTTTCCCCTGCCCAAATGCCTAGTCTTCCTCCTTCTCAGCCAACACACTGGCCTCCAGGGCAGCTCCAAGTTCCCCCCGAGCCTCCCTGACCTGTAGCCGAAATTCCATGTTCCCCCTCCTCCACTCACTCGCAGAGCCAATGCCTGGCCCATGCCACCTCCAGGCCTCGGTCCCCATCACAGGGATCAAGGGGTGCCCAACAGTCAAGGACAGCATAGGCTGGAAGCTCTGAGGGCCCACACACCCCTCCGGTCTTCTGCCATCCTATGAGATCTGAGCCAGCCACATCTGTTACTGGTGGCACTGACCATGCCTTTCACAGGGTGGGGGCATCCTTCACCTGGACAAAGAGGGAGGCCACCCAGGCCCCATCTTGCTGAGCTGTAGCCACACCTGAGGGGCCTTCAGGGGGTATCTGGCCCAATCTGTATAAGGCACCGCATATCCCTGCTCCGGGAAGGATAGCTGTAGGCCCTGCTATGTGTGGAAGCTCACAAGGATGGCTCCAGACGCAGGCGTGGGGCACCGGCTGAGGGCCCCAACACCAGGGCACTCACGTCTTGTCCTTGAATTCAAACTGGAAGAGATTGTTGGTAATCTTGGCTCCACTCTGCCCTGAGAACACAAACATCTTGTCCCGACACACGGCCACTGGGAAGTTGCAGCAGGATGGTGGGATCTCGCCGCTCTGGGCCACCTGCGGGTGGGGGGAGGCAGCTCAGCCCGGGGCCCTCACAGGACCCGGCACACACACCTGCGCTTACGCTGCTGCGCTGGGACTGTTTCTATTCCTGAAGTTCCTTTTGTGAATGAGAGTTCATAGATTATTTTTTGCAGAACAACTTAACTTTTTGCAGCACACCTTCCTAAATGGGGGCTAAAATCTTCACTACAGGGGAAAGAAACCACCTGGGGAAAGACAGTAGAGCTATCAGACAGCTGGCCTGGAAATGGCAGTGAGCGGGCCGGTGGGTGGCATGCTGCCCTCGCTATATTCAGATAAGGGTGGGTTATATCCCAACTGCATTGGTCACCTGTGACAGGATGCCATCCAAACCACAGAGCCTTAAGTCGCTAGGTAACTGCCACTAGAATTGGTCGTGAAGGCCGGGCAGGTCAGCGGGGAGGGCAAGGCCAAGGACAAGGCTGGGCTTTGGCAAGGGGAGCAGAGCAGCTTCTACCCCAACCCACCTCAGTCCCCAAGCCCCTCTGGTCTCCCACTCCAGCCTCCCAAGGCCCTCACCTCCCTGCACCGCCCCCCCGAATCCCAACCCAGCACCCTAGCTCCTCACCTCCTCCCAGCACATGAGCTCCCGGTCCTGGAGACCAATGGTCCACATGTCATTCAACCTTAATAAGGACAGAGGGGTCAGGATGCCCATGGATGGAGCCAATTGTCAGAGTGGGCCTGAGCCTGGCCAGGAGGGATGGCTCCAGGGAAGAACAATGCATTAGGTGGGACTCTGGCCAGGAGACTCGAGTAACATGAGGCAGGTGCTTCAGTCAGGGGGGTGGGCATGGCACTGAGTCCTTGGTGTTGCAGGCCCCCACCTAGCTAGCTGGGAAGAAGGGCCTCATTCCCAATACCTAGGGCAGGGAAGAGGGTCCGCCACTCAGCTGATCCCCAGGGCTAGGAGAGAACTTCACAGAAACTGCATTGTCTGGGGTTTCTATAATGCTGAAGTTTTGGGGAGTAAGCACATGCTATTTTTGTAAACAGAAAAATACAGCAAAGCCAATTTGCCACAACAAGGAGGAAGATGCCTGTGATGTCAGCAAGAACCCTGTCACCCTCCGAAGGCGAGGACGGGGGTTCTGAGCCATGCTGCTTCCACTCATCTGCTCACTCAGCTCCTCAGGGTCACAGCAATTCAAGGGCCACCTCCCCCACCCCCTGACATCTAGCTACTTGCTCTGGAGACTTAAACACCATTGACAGCTGCACAGACATGCCCCAGAAGGGATCTCAGAGGTGTCAGTCCTTCTGACCACTGTGGGGGTTAAGTGGCAGCTCCACTCAGTGGCCCTCACCCCTATCCCGTCCACCTTCCTCTTCCCCCATCACCTGTTCACACACCCACCCTCCTGAGAAACTCCCGGCCTGAGCCCTCCCATGCCAGAAAGGCCCACTCCACCTTAGTACACTGGGCCGCTCAGAAGCAGGGTGCACACACTGGGTTACCACCTACCTGGCATTGCCATCGTAACCAGCAAAGATCCACAGCTTATCACTGTACACCGTGGCACCATGGGCTGATCTAGCAACCGGCAACCTGGA